ATTTTCGGTTGAATGAGCATTGTGTTTAACATAGAATATTTTAGGTATTTCTTACATATATATGTTAACCCGTACCTTTAATTAATAATTATTAGGTAAATTATTTACTCTCCCATTTAATTTATAATTATTACTACCTACTATTCTTTTTTATTGTCATTTTGACTTTATCAATCATTAACCAAATAAATGACGTTTTAGAATTTTTTTACATATTTTTTCATTATTGCCCTCATTTAGTTAATAAATATGTTACGTCTTTTCATATCCACTCTTAATTTTCACTTTAAATAATTTTCATTAAAGAGGGTTATTATTGACAAAAAAATATTCTTAATTATTGTACAACTTTTCAAAACGACACTTATTGTAAATAAGATGTATTTAATATTGTTACCCGTGCATCGCACAGGCGACGCACTAGTTGAAGTAGATATGATATATTTTTTCTATTATTTTTCCACATCATTCAAGACCTAAGCCTATTATAGTAACTTCTAGATTAATTTAAGAGTAAACTTATTGTTTACCACAATAATTTTAATTTATTGTGATGCAAGCCTACCTTTTTAAGTGTATTTATTTGACCTGAAGCTAAAAACCTATTACCATATTAAGTGAGAGAATATATTCCTACAATCACGTTTAACTGAAAAATAAAAGGTAAGTGTATATTACCAACTAATTAGGACTTCGTTCATATCATGCTCGGCGAAAGATTGTAATTTGAAATTCAAACGTCCTATTTATTTTTTCAGAATATATACATAATATATACAGAATATATACAGAAGATACACAGAAAACATATATGTCCAGAAAATATATGAAATAAACCTAGTAATTTTATCTTCTCGTAATCCTTTTTTGTTTACTTTTTGTGTTATTTACATCTCGTGTTTTTTCTATATATTTATAGTATATTTTCTGATTTAATACATACAAAATACACTTTCAGACTTATATACAGAAGATATACTCATTACATACATACTACATAAATAAAATACGCAACAAATAAATCAATCTAGTCATTATATCCAAATTATATACATAGTTAGATATAGAGATTACACATTAGGTTAACGATTGTACTTACGAGGACATACACTGCCATGACCAGATCCACCCTCACCACCGCCACCGCCGCCGCCCTCACCACCACCCCACACCAACCGTCGACCCCTCATCCAACGCAACCACCCACACAATCTCTCAAACCCTCCGCTTGAAAATGGCCCGAATCGGATGTGGAATCGACCTTTCCATAAAATAAAAATCTAATCCACAGATCTAATTAGTTGTAAGCGAAATCGGATAGACAATCTTGTCGTCCTCCATTAACACAAATGAAGATGGACAAAACCGAGTAGCAAAAAACAAAACCAATCCCAATTAATATTACATTACCCATTGATTGGTCGGAAAAGTGTGTATTTTATATATTTATTAGCATATTATTATATATATTTTCGACTTACTTATTTATTAAATGGATTTAAGTACTATGATATATTTATGATTTATTTTCATGATATTGGAGGATTTTTATTGCACAAAGATGTGTGGATGCACGAAGAAGGATGAAGAAGGTTTTCCAACATAGTATGAGGGTATCCCTTATTTCCCCGTATTGACCCAACAACACCCTATACTCAGACATCCAACAGAGGCTATGAAGCCTAGGGAATTCGCGTAAGGCCAGGCTTATTTCAATTACAAATAAGAGAAAAAGAGCTACCAAATCAGAATTCACTAGTATTCTAGCCTGTGCACATGCACATATGCAAATAAAATTTTATATGTTAAGTATGTGTATATGTGATATTTAAAATCATAAGTTAGATAATGAGTATATCAGATTTTAGTTTTATCAGTAGTAACAATAAACGATATAAATATAAACTATTAACATACATATCAATCTTTATATTGATTTCAATAATATATTTTTTGCAATCTTTGATGATTTTTAACTACTGAATAGATAAAAAATATTAAAATTATTATTGCAAATGTGCATGAAATTTTAAAATATAATTAGCTAATATTGATAAGAAAACTTGGTTAATGAGTTAAAACATAATAATAATAATAATAATAATAATAATAATAATAATAATAATAATAATAATAATAATAATAATAATAATAATAATAATAATAAAATAGTTTCATAAAAAGTTTTTGATTACCATATTATTTAATTTGACTTTACAATTTATTAGTAGTGATTGTTACATAATAAAATAAACAAACTATATAAATATTTAATTAATTCTAAAGTAACAAAAAATGGAGGGAAACTTAAAGAATTTTATCAAAAACGTTGCTAGCAATTATATATGTATAGATTTTATGATACAAAATTAAAGGGGTCGGTAATAACATATATTATAAAATGGAGTAAGACTGATTTGTTTACAAAATTTTAGAATTTAGTGTCTTTCATTGTAGCAAGAGGCTGATGGAATTACTTGTGATGCTCTTTTTGAAAATTATTTATTTATTTTTCATAGTATTAATTGACTATCGAGTAATTTTTTAAATAAATTAATTTTTTTTTTCTCTTTCTTTACTGTTCTAGAGTTTGTGTTGTGTTTTTGTTATAAAATTATTTTGTCAAATTTTTATTAGAAGTGATAAATACAATAAGTTTGATTTGGGAATAAAGACCATTGATTATTGTGATAAATGTATTAATGTTTATTAGTCAGTTCAAATTTTATAGTAATAAATGTATTAAGATAAATTTGTGTAGGATATTTGTGTATACAATGATGATATTTTTATTCAATGATGCATTAGTCAGTTCAAATTTTTATTAGTCAGTTCGTTGTAGTACGAGGCTGGTTAATATTGTGTATACAATGATGATATTTTTATTGTATATGATATTTTTTTATCATTATAACATTTTTCTCTCTTTTTACAGGTTGAGGTTGAAATCAAGAGTTGGTGAAGATTGATTTATTGTAGAGAGTGAATTTCTAACAATTTTTATATTTGTAATTGGTTATACGGGATAATTTTTCTTCATCATTATTTATTATGGTATATTATTAATTTTAGAGAGTAATATCAAAATCAGTTTTATTTACTAAATACAAAATATCAATAAAGTATTAAGAATAATATTTGAAATATTATTTGAGAATCAATTTTCAATTTGATGAAATTTTATTGATTATTGGGTTAATTATGTATTTATTATAAAAAACAAATGAATTAAAGGTGAATATAAAGTAGAAACAAAATTGTAACGATTTTGTATTAATGAGATTTGATAAAGAAATAAAAAAGTCAAAGGTAATTTAGACTGGAAAATAATTGATGTTTTATTAAATATTTTATTTAATACATCTGCCAGCAATTATATATATATAGATGCGGGCCTACCCATTCTGTTAATTGGAGAAAGACTTGATGGCCCAAATAATTAGGTGGCCTAGTAACATTTGGAGTGAGAAGGAAAGAATTAGAGTTGAGAGAATTGGGAGATTATTTTTCACGCAAGAAATATTCATGAATTAGTTTTTGGAGCCGCCACTCATAACAGAGAAAAGGAATTCATGCAGAACAGAGGCACGAACAGAGGACAAAGACGAGAATCGGATTAATCGTGGAGGGAGACCGCACTGCACATGAGAAGGATAACTTTATTCTTCTCTTTTGCTTTTTATTTATTATGTTATAGTAGTTTTTCTTTCTAGTTCCGGGATGTCGAACCCTACGATTGACGATGTTTTGATTAATTTACGTGTTGATATTTCAATATTTTTTTGGAATTGTGCGGGTTATTTTGAATAATTAACCATAAAGTGTTGAATCTTATTTAGATTGATCACCTAGATTAGGCTTTTCATGTTTATAGCTGAATTAGACCTTCAATCCGTATTGTTGATGTGTTTAATTCATAAGGGGCTACCGGAAGACGGTTACTACAGGGGATAACACGCCTATTTAAGTGAACGAACGCGGTTGAGTTCACTATTTAGTCTAGCCTATTTTTTAATTCGTAAAGCGGCTAATTGTATTAAATCTTGAAAACGTTTTTCTGGACTGTACAAGGAGTCAAGTCTAATCGTAGAGCGTCTCGCAATTAGATTAAAAATAAAGAAAAAATCGGGTAACAGACCGTGTCGTTTTCCAGGGCTGGTAATTCCAGCTAAGCCCATCACGATTATTCCAGAAAAAATATAAATTATAATTTTGCCGCGTTGCGACGCGCGGTCACCCAAGCCCATCACGATTTCTCGTCGTTGAGTGGAAACGAGGCGGTCCGGGCGGTGGCGGCTTCTGGTGGAACCGCTTGCCCGCTTTGGAGATCTTAAACGAGATCTCCATGTTATGAACATGACCAACAAAGAGGAATTTTGGGAGAAAAAGGTACAAACTTTAGTAATGCTAGGGGAAAAAAGCAAAGTTTTGCTGGAAAAGAAGGAAGCCACAGGGGAAGGAGCCGCCGGAAACAGAAGAGGAATATATGAATTCATGGAAGAAAAGGGCAATGAGAAACCTATCCAAATAACAAGATAAAAGAAACGTGAGGATGAAGAATATATGAATATCAATTGCATATTTAAATTTTTTTCATGTACTTTTGCAATTAAAACCGTCAGATCTTGTATATTTGGTAATATTTACAATTGGGTTTCATTTATGTAACAAAAATAATATGGTGCAATTTCCTCTAATTTTAAACCCAAAGCAATGGATGAACTCTTGCACCCAAAACATGTACCTTTTACATGACAAAAATGAAGCAGTCTCCACAAGGGCTTTCACAGTGTGTAAAGTGGTCAAATAAAAATTACATTTTCAACAGACAACAAGAAAACAATAATACTTTAACAAACCCAAAGAAGTAAGAGATAAGAAACTTGACATAGTTACAAGATTGATCAGCCAGCAACTTCTCAAGCAATCATTATTACATGTTAGCAGCCACAGAACCTCAACAATCTATCTTTGTTCTTTCCTTCTAAAATCACTACCTGTCACAAGCAGAGTCGAACATGCTGTGCCTCCCTTTCCTCACCACTTTCCACCTGCAATAGCGTCGAATCCCATTTGTCCGAACACCTTTTGTACGGCACAAAACCCAAAATCCTTTTCTTGCTCGGGTTGTAGGACGATAAAGATTTTCTTTCCCCTTTCCTTTTGAAGGAGAGAAGCTCACCAACAAAATCAGTATTACTTGAGCCCGTGAACGAACCCTCTTTCTCATTGTCATCCGGCTTTTCTTTGTTATTGTTATTATCACACAACGATAGGGCTCTGACTGGAGTCGGGTTGTGCACTTCCGGGGTTTGAACTAATGCATTGTTATTACAAACGGTCAACCAAGGAAAATAAAGAGGACGCATCAGAACATCACTCGACAATAGTTCGGGCTTGCAATCTCTCGGGACCTGATCAGACAGCCCGCTTGAGTCCGTGATTAATAATGTCTTGCCAAACAGCTTCAAGCTTTGTGTGGCCGACCCGTTTGGGTCTTTGTTAACACCAGTGTCGTTTTGGGATGATAGATCCAATTCCTGTTAAGAAAACAGAGAGCACATTTAAAATCACATATCATACACATAATAACCTACTAAAGAGATAAAGTTATCATTTTTACCATATGTATCCTTTCATCTATACTCGAATTTTCGTCCTCACGCTCGGGCAAAAGGCACAGCACGTCTTCCGATACGAGTTTAGGCACTTCGCATGAGACTGATGACCTGTTCCCATCAAGCGTACAAGAATCTGCCCCTCCGGATGAATCCGAACCAATCCCAGACAAAACGGAAGTTAAGGACTGGTTTTCTTTCTCCGAAACGTTCGAAAATTTCTCGGTTATTGAAATTCCGGTAACGGCCTGAGTGACCATCTTACGAGGGTAAGGGTGAATTGGCTTCCTCTTGGGCCTTGGTGGTGGAATCTCAATTGGCTTCACAGAATTACATTCGCCTGTGTTGGTTTCACGAGTGACCTGCACAAAAGCGAAAGAACGTTTTAGGCACAATTGCTATAAATAGAATGGCTCGCACGCCTCGGAGTCATTAAAAGGTATGACTTACCGAAAAAGACGGCATAATAGATATATAACGGCAGATAATGTTATGTGCATAAGAGCAGTCTGTGAAGAAACCTTGGAGAAAAATTTCTGCGCGTGGCTTCGAATTTGCACTGCGGTTTTCGTGCCAACGTGCTCTGAGAAGAAAATGAATACTTTTTCTCAGAAAGAAAAAAACATTGAAAACACAAAATCTCAGATGCATGCATTAGAGAAAATAGTTGGTATTCTTTTTAAATATCCACCTTCAATTCTTCTCCATGCCCTGCCGTAAAGTTTCAACGCCTCGAGAAATTTCTTGTGCTCTTCATCAGTCCACCTCTCTCTTTGTTTAGTAACAGTATACGGCTTCCTCACCTACACGATTATACACAAACAAGGAAAAAGTGTACAAAGATAAGTCGAAAGTTGAAAGATTCTGCCTCCCGAAAATCAAACGATTATACAAAGGAATAAACCTTTGGAACAAACACATCCCCAGGATTGTTAAGATGTTCCAATGAAGTGTTTCCACTTGCCCTGCATCCATTTTCCTCCTGCAGCAGAATACTATATGTTAATAAGATAAATCCACAAAAAGAAAGTTGGTTTTTCAGTCGATAAATCGGAAAAAAAATATTTTTATGTGTTTTAAAAACTCAAAAGCTTGTGAAATCAATGCTTTAATATCTGAAATTGCCTTCAATTGCTCATTTATTTTTTTAACTAACATAAATTTCTTCATAAATTTGAGCTCACAATCACATAATCCCAAAGTACATCACTAAACCAAGAAACAGAAGACATGTACAGAGACCCTCATCACCATTAAATATCAATATCAACAAAAATGCATATTCCACAGATGCCAACAAATTCATAAAGACAATAATTAAAATAAAGCAATAAATTTTCTACCGTCCAGTTACGGAACCATTCCATCGGAGTTTGTAACCATTAGATCAACTATCCACGACGAAATAGTTCCGTAATGGGATTCTAGCATTTCCCCCAAGAATAAATCTTTCTTATTATATTCAACTAAATCCAATTTTTTCGTCACATGATCCATAATAGAAAGGCTTCTGCTTTTGCAGATCTATTCTCAAATTTACACGACTATTTCAAAAATCTTAATCAATAGAGACAAACAGAAAAAAAAAAATTAAATAAATAAATAAATAAAATTATGGGGTTGAAAATTTAACGATAATTATCCACCTAAACTGCCTGAAACCTGAATCTTATACATGAATTGATGGACCTTAAGCTTATTACCTGTTCAGCCATAGTTTCAGACACCATCGAAAAATCTCCAAATAAAAACGCTCCCTTCAATCCAATAAACCTTGGAATCCCAGAATAAGTGTCCTAATCCCAGAAAAATCAAACTCCACAGTCCGAGATATTTTCTCGTACCATTAGAAAAAAAAAAAAATCAAATCTTTTTCAGACTCGATGATCCAAAGAGTAAAATGGGCTGCTAATAATTACTGAGAAAAGAAGCTGAAAAAATGAAAATTTGATCAAACAGAGGAATATATTTGTAAGAACTTCAAAACAGAGAGAGAGAGAGAGAGAGAGAGAGAGAGAGAATTGTGAAGGGAAGCAAACGGGTTTGGGTTTTTTATTAGGGTTGGGCGGAGGGAAAAAGGTAGAAGAAGAGGCGTAAGGGCGCCACGTCATGGGGGCTAAACTGTAAAATGGGGAAAGTTGAGGGGTTTTTCCGGTAGAACGATCGAGAAATCCATGGCAATCTTGTGGCTAGAATTGAAGGACACGTGGCGAGTGTAGGCCAGCGAAAAAAGCGCTTTGTAGAATAAAGGTTAGCATACGCTCCATAGGATTGCTGCCACGTTTCGGCAGTTTAGTGGAGCGTTGGTTTATTATTATTATTATTATTATTATTATTATTATTATTATTATTATTATTATTATTATTATTCAGACAGAGAAGTGGCTAAAAAGGATAGAATAGATATTAAATTTGAGGTGGTGGTGCTTAACCATTTGATTGGTATTTCCTTTATGGGTAATAGTGTTTTTTTTTTCTCCCTTTTTGTCTTTTGTCTTCTCTCACATTCCAGATTTTATCAGATTTTTACATGATTTTTTTGTTGACAAAACCCTTTATTATTATTTTTTTTTATCCTCAATATTTCACATTATCTAAATCTTCAAGTTTACGGGTGTTACTAAACACCGCTCCCTTTATTACTAAATATCAATATATCATCCTCTAAAAAGATAGTTTTACCTTTTTTAATTTTAAAATATTTATTTAAGGCCGGCCGGCCGCGAATCGCGGCCATAACCGTGCCAGCCTTCTTTCCCGATTGGCCGCACCATGCACGGCCTTATTTTCCGATTGGCCGCACCGTGCATGACCTTCTTTCCCAGTTGGCCGCACCACGCATGGTCTTCGTTCCCGGTTGGCCGTACCATGCACGGCCGTTTTTGTCGGCCGGCCGGATTTATTTATTTTTTTATAATCAAATTTTTATTTATTATACACATTATATTAGAATTTAGATATTATGTTATAAATTAGAATTTATTATCTTATAGTTAGAATTTAGAAATTATTAAACTATAAATTATAATTAATTATCTTATACAATTTTATTATTATGTTAGAACTTACAAATTATTATGTTGTATAACATAATACTAATTATCTCTAACAAAATACTAGTGATGTTATAAAAAATTGTAGTCCCCTTTTTTTTCTTAAATTCGCTGTTTTTCAACTCGGTAATAAATTTAAAAATAAAAAATAGTATTCTTACTTAAATTTGAAATTCATAAATACCAATTTAAATAACAATATAACGGAAAAAGTCAGATTCTATTCGAGCAATTCGTTGGGACCGATTAATTCAGAGTTATATGACAATATTGTTTGACACTTTTCTCAGAGTTATATGATTCGTGCGAATATTATAGTAGGAAAAAACATTCAAGCTCATGTTTAATTGAAGTATTAATGAAAATGCCTTGTCGTTAACTTTCATTCTCTAATGGACTTGTATTTAATCGAATCAATTTTATCACGCTTGGGATCATGATGTTAGTGTCATGGCTAAATTTAATTTCAATGCAACAATTAAACCATTAAAAGTTGTGTCACTTGGTCTAATGAGAGAATGCGATAGTAGTGATCCTCATTTGGTGGCACGTTTTGCAAATATGTTGGTCCTAATTAATTAAAGCGGATTTGGATAGGGCACAATATTGATTTAATAAATGTTGTTTTTTTATATTTTTTATTAATTTTTTGTACGATCGACGTTTGGTTGAATTGTTTTTTTATTTGTCGTTAATTATTTTATCCTTATCCATTACCAAATGCTATGCCACATTATAACTAAACAATTCCATAAATCAACTTATATGTACTTAATCTAAAGTCGATAACAAACATAGTTAAAATTAACGTATAAACATGACCAAATATCATAATATATCAAGCGCCCTCGTCCCATCTTATTCGATCGAGTGTAGCGCTGATCACATTGAAATAAAAAGGAGCGTACAACTGTTTGTAGCATTGTCTATTGGGTTTTTCTCTTGAATCGCAGCCAAAATTACTGCTCGTTTTTCCTGATCAGCAGTAATATCACGGACTATCTCTTTAGATGAAGCGCTAAGTCCGCTCATCTATCGATGACCCTCGGCATACACAGTCATTGTAGATCCTGCCTCCAATTTGACTTTTATCTCAAAAAGGAAGTTGGTCGCTTTAGTTTTCGAACGTCTCATAAATCTTCTATACTCCCTCGGTAACATTCCCCTCGGTGACATCTCAAAATTCTCTGCTTTCCTTCTTTTTTGTGTTTTGAGATGATCAATTCGAAACCACATATAATTGCATTATTTTTCCCTCTCGATACCTTCTTCTGAAATAGTACTAATAAATTCTAGCTTCTAACATAAGATAATATAAGATATTAATTATAATGTATAAGATAATAAATTCTAAATTCTAATTTATAAGATAATAATTATAATGTATAACACCATAATAATTTATAATTTCTAACATAGTAGTACTAAATATTACTTCATAAGACAATCAATTCTAGTTCTATATCATAATATTCTCTAACTTCTAACATAATAGTAATAAATTTGAATTTATATGATAATCAATTCTAATCTATAATACAATAATTTCTAGCTTCTTATAACAAAGTAATAATAAATTCTAAGTTATAAAACAATCATTTCTAATTCTATACCATAATAATATCTAACTTCTAACATAATCGTAATAAATTCTAATTTATAATACAATAATTTCTAACTTATAATAAAATATTAATAAATTCTAATTTATAAAACAATCATTTATAATCTATACCATAAAAGCACCCACGTACAATGCTTTGGGTATCTTAGAAAAAAATCACATGTCATGTATGAAATAGACCTAGTCTATAAAAAAATGTTTCACAATGCAATTAAAAGTGGACCTAGTCTAACTTATGTGACACTAGAAAAAAAGACCAAGTCCACACTTGGGTCTATTTTAAACCCAAGTGCAAACCCGCCTAGTCATTGATTGTTCCATTTCTTTTAATAAGCAAAACACATTTTTTTTGTATGCATTTATTATTACTATATTTTTGTTGGTTGTTTAATATTCTAGATCTATTACTTTTTGTTTTGCATTGGATAGATTTTTGACTTTTTAGCTTGGGTTTGTCCATGTCATTATGAACCTAAGTTTATTTATTTGCCACATATGCAAAAAGAGACCCAAAGCCTTGTGGGTGCTCTAATAATTTTTAACTTCTAACATAGTAGTATTAAATATTACTTCATAAGAAAATCAATTCTAATCTGTAATACAATAATTTATATCTTCTAACAAAATAGTAATAAATTCTAATTTATAAAACAATCAATTTTAAGTCTATACCATAGTAATTTCTAACTTCTAACATAATAGTAATAAATTTTAATTTATAAGATAATCAATTCTAACATATAATACAATAATTTCTAACTTCTAACAAAATAGTAATAAATTATAATTTATAAAACAATCATTTATAATTCTATACCATAATAAGTTATGACTTCTAACATAATAGTAATAAATTATAATTTATAAGATAATCAATTCAAATATATACCATAATAATTTATACTAATACAAAATTTTCAAGCTAGTATCATTTATAATCTATAATAATATAATTTATACTAATTTTCAAACTGGTATCAATAAATTATACTTCATAAGATAATCAATACTAATCTATAACACAACAATTTCTAATATATTAGTTATACATTCTAATTTATAAGATAATCAATTCTAATCTATAACACAATAATTTCAAACTTCTAACTAATATCAATAAATTTTATTTTATAAGATGATCAATTCTAATCTATAACGTAATGATCTATACTAATATATTTTTTTTTTCTATTATAATTAATCATATATTATACTATTATAATTTATAATAATTAAACTAAGTAATAATATAATTTTTTATATTTTTATATAATTTATAATAATATATTTTTTTCATTATAATTAATTATATTTTATACTATCATAATTTATAATAGTTATACTAATATAATATATATTAACTTTATTAATATATATTAATATAAAATATATATTAAATTTATTAATCTATATCAATATATATGAATGTATAATAATATAAATATAATTATTAATATATATAATTTAATATGTATTAATATAAGTTATTAATATATATTAATTATTATTCAAACTTAATTATTAATTTTTTTAATTTATAATAAAAATATTTAATAATATATATGAAAACATTTTTAATTTTTCAATATTTTTTAATTAACAAAAATTAAAAACCACGAAAGTTTTAAAAAAATATACAAAGTAATGTATATGTACAAAGAATTTATATATATATAATTTAATATGTTAGTTTAATGTATATATATATATATTAATTACAAACTAATATATATTTTATTAATTTATTTTATAAAAATAATAGAAACCATGAAAAAAATGAATAATTAATATATATTTTTTATTAATGTATTTAATTATTTATTTTATTAATTTATTATAAAATATGTATTAATATATAGAAAATCTTCAAATATATTTTATAATATTAAAAGTTTTTTTAATTATTAAAAGCGCAAAAAAAAAAAAAAAAAAAAAAACGGTCGACTGTAATGGAGCTGGCCGACCAGCGATCACGGTCGGCCGAACTTTTTGGCCATGTATGGTCTGGCCGGCCGCCAACATAGGCTCGGCCGACCGG